CGCGCCGTAATAATTGAGAAAATGAATTTTTTCGATTATTTTTGCCATTTCCATCTCCCCTACGGGTTGGCACAGATATTTTTCTGTGTGTACATATTGGTTATGAGGTGTTTAATGATCCTTCGAATAGTTGAAGATGACACGCGCCGTAATAATTGAGAAAATGCATTTTTTCGATTATTTCGCGATTTCCATCTCCCCTACGGGTTGGCACAAATATTTTTCTGTGTGTACGTATTGGTTATGAGGTGTTCAATGATCCTTCAAATAGTTGAAGATGACACGCGCCGTTATAATTGAGTAAATGATTTTTTTCGATTATTTCGCGATTTCCATCTCCCCTACGGGTTGGCACAAATATTTTTCTGTGTGTACGTATTGATTATGAGGTGTTTAATGATCCTTCAAATCGTTGAAGATGACACGCGCCGTCATAACTGAGAAAATGCATTTTTTCGATTATTTTTTCGATTTCCATCTCCCCTACGGGTTGGCACAGATATTTTTCTGTGTGTACGTATTGGTTATGAGGTGTTTAATGATCCTTCGAATAGTTGAAGATGACACGCGCCGTAATAATTGAGAAAATGAATTTTTTCGATTATTTTTGCGATTTTCATCTTCCCTACGGGTTGGCACAGATATTTTTCTGTGTGTACGTATTGGTTATGAGGTGTTTAATGATCCTTCAAATAGTTGAGGATGACACGCGCCGTAATAATTGAGAAAATGATTTTTTTGTATTATTTTTGCGATTTCCATCTCCCCATACGGGTTGGCACAGATATTTTTCTGTGTGTACGTCTCGGTGGTGAGGTGTTGAATGATCTCTCGAATAGTTCAAAATGACACGCGCCGTAATAATTTAGTAAATGAATTTGTTCGATTTCTTCCACCCCTACGTCTTGGCACAGATATTTTTCAGTGTGTATGTATTGGTAATGATATGTTCAATGACCTGTCAAATAGTTCAAGATAAGCACGCGCCATTATAATTGAGAAAATATTTTTTTTTATATTTTTGAGATTTCCATCTCTTCTACGGGTTGGCACAAATATTTTTCTCTGTGTATGTATTGATAAGCATTATGCTCAATGACCTGTGAGATAGTTCAAGATGACACACTCCGTAATAATTGAGAAAATGTATTTTCTCAAATATTTTTGTGATTTCCATATCTCCCCTACCGGTTGGCACAGATATTCTTCTGTGTGTACATATTGGTAATGAGGTGTTCAATGATTCTTCAAATAGTTCAAGATACACGCGCCGTAAAAATTTTTTTTCAAATATTTTTGAGATTTTCATCTGCCCTACCGGTTGGCACAGATATTCTTGTGTGTGTACGTATTGGTAATTAGGTGTTTAATGATCTCCCAAATAGGCACTGTAATAATTGAGAAAATGATTTTTTTGAATATTTTTGATATTTTGATCTCCCCTATGGGTTGGCACAGATATTTTTCTCTGTGTGCTTGTTGGTGAAAAGATGTTTAATGATCTTTGGAATAGTTCAAGATGACAGGCGTTGTAATAATTGAGAAAATAAATGTGTTGGAATATTTTTGTGATTTCCATTTCCCCTACAGGTTGGCACAGATATTTTTCAGTGTTTATACCTATATTGGTAATCATATGTTTAATGACCTGTCAAAGAGTTCAAGATGTTTTATGTGCTGTGCTGTAATAATTGATGTGTAAATGATTATTATATATCATTCGAATTCACTCAATTTTGTTGCCAAATTCTGATATAAAGAGCTGATACACTATGTCTTGTATGTGTCATGTTAGATTTTTTATAAATCAATACTTCAACAGTCTTAATGAAATATCTAATGATATTTGTTAAACTTTGGCAACACCGCATGTGACCCACAGTGTATTCCAAATACAACGTTCTTCACGTCATAAAGTGTGGATGGAAATGTGTGGATAACTTCACTTTAATATCCTATTAATTTCGATTTTAATGAGAAATGTATTTTTCACTCATTTTCCATAAACTTTCGAGGTTATGTCAATGATTATTTGACGTTGACTAGTGACAGTTGTTGTACATTGACATTTGACCACATTCATCACAGAATACATTGAGTTGCACAATAAAGGACTGTTCGTTTGCAAGGTCTATTAACAGAGTTAAAAAATAGCCTTGGTTTGTTGGTGCTTGCTCTACCCTGCTGAACTTGATTTTTTTTCAATGACTCTCGTTTACATCATGCCATGAACAGAGAACAGTAGAAAAATAATCAACTCAAGCAAGTTCAGCAATAACGAACAGGACTTTGAATAACTGTCTATTAGTTATGAGAAGACGAGTGCCTGTAGACAGCTCCAGCACACTACATCCAATAATCTGGCTTCTAACATAATAACGTGATATAAGGAAGGCAGAAGGAAGGTAAATATCCTATCTGCATTTAGAAGGTTTTAACATTTTCACCTAACTCGGCCTAAATAAACCTTTTTCCCAACATTTTTCGAAAAATTACTTTTCAAACGATCCAACCTAAGTCTGCTTGAAAATCCCATTCTAAAATCTATCGCACGCGTGGCTTGCTTAAGCGGCGTTCACAACCAAACTTTTTTCGTTTTTCTGACTCCAGCTCACTAGATTTTTTCTCCATATTTAGCAGACAATGATCATAACAATAATATTGAACAGATAATCAATAATATTCATAGAACTGGCGGTGACGAAAATTGATCCTAATTCAATACTTGAAGAGAAAAATCATTCTTCAACAAGAAAATAATGAATTGAACAGTATACCTATCTATTATTCTGTGGATTCACGGAAAAATCATGAAAACATTATCATAACTTCCATATTATCACAGAATGTTCTGTATTATTCGTCTATTTTAACTATTTTCACAGACGATGGCTTCTTGCAACGCAAAAAGCTGAATATTTTCAGCTTTTCGCGTTATTTCAACTACAGATTTTGCTTCACCAATCAGAATACGAAACGTAAAAATCAAAACGTAAAAAGTTTGGTTGTGAGCGCCGCTTTACGGTTTGCTTACTGGTACCTCGAGCTCAACTGACAATTTGAAAGAAACTACTCGTATCCTGTGGCGTTGGGAGTCAGAATATTGGATGTAGTGTCTGGGACCTGTCTGCAGGTTCTCGTACAAGTGGATTGCGGCAGGAGGCTGGCGCTGGCGCTGATGGCTGCTAATGAATATTGAGTTACAGGGTGATCCAGTTTTGATGAACAATTATAGACTGAACTTATTTCATGAAAAATTATTTCTTCGACATAACAAAACTCCTAATCAGATTGGTTAAATCAGTTTTATAAATAGACAATATCTTGAATCATATGAATGGACAATTTTTTATGCATTTTATTGAAACGTTTCACATGAAATACACAGGTGCAACAAGCCCGAGTGGAGATTTCGGGAGACCACGATTTGGTAAGACACATTTCAAGGGAAGAAACAGTAATGCTTGAACACATCGGGATTGCGTGCACAATTTTTGTCTGCTGGATATAGTCACCAAATCACTGGTCACCAAATAATGGTTCTATGTTTTGTTTTTGTCCCACACATTATTTGTAGTAACAATTTTGTACATAATTATGCAGCACAATATATGAATAATTGAGCTTTTGGGATCACCAGCACTCACTGCATCAATGGTTAGACCACAAAAAGGCTTTTTCTATATCAGCCACATGACCATATTGTCCACAGAAAATGAAACGAATAACCAAGTTTGGTAGAACTGATTATTATACAAATTATCATCAGTTCTACCAACCTTGCGAATTTTTTATTTTTTTTATTTATTTATTTATTTATTCATTTATTTATTTATTGAACAAATAACTTCCAGACAGAATAGGCTCTGGTATGAGGAAGTACATAATTATATACCTATAGGTAAACATATCATTATACAAAATATATCAACAACTGTAGATTGACAAACATCACAATCACGCCTAATTAGCGTGAATTAATCAAGAGAGATCAAGATCAAGAAATTAGATATTTCGAATATTTGACAGATATAATTCAATGTTCTGTGGTATTAGCCAGAAAAGAAGTTGTTTTCTGTTAGATATCTCGACTAGGGTCCCTTGATGTAAATTGACGTATTTGTCATCTAAACAGGGCACGGACAGATCCTATCGTCTCTTCTCACTCTAAAGTGTTTGTGAAACAGTTATATAGTTCCATCTTTATTCATTTCTGGGGATAAACACTTGATTTCTGACATTTGTTGTTTTCTAGGTTATGTTGAGGACATTGGCGTATCATACGTAATTTCCAAATGTAATTTCTCATTCAACTCTGCATATTATATCCAAATGATGATGATAATTCTCGAGTTTTTGATTTTTCAACTAGAGCATAATCTTTGTGACGCAGTGAGCAAATTTTTCTGAAAGTTTAATACGTTTTACCAAATGGGACTGGACTGGGAAATAGGCAGTACCCATCAATACATGAATTTTGATTTCAGACTATGCCTTATGGTTGAGAAATGGTGAAACATTTTATTTTAATCAGAACTAAGTTCAATAGCATTTGATGGAAAGCTGACAAATTCAAATTTGCCATCCAACTGATTGATACAGCCTAACACAGCACATTTTAGCATCCTCCCAAAACAATATTGAATAATGTCGTATTAAGATAAAGTATGAAATTAAAATTTAATTCAATTTTAACGCCTATGAATGTGACATGACAGCAATGTCGCCAATATACGAAACCAAAGTCACTAGATGATTAAAAGAGAAAGGAGCTATGATCTGTCCGCTGTTAGATGACAAATACATCAGTTTACCTCAAGGGACCCTAATTTCAACAATAGTTATGATACATTTGTATTTCCAATATTTGACAGATATAATTCAATATTCTGTGGTAGTCAGCAGAAACTTAGCTGTTTTCTATCAGATATTTCAACAATATTCCTCTTATTCCTAAAAAAAATCGACACAAAATGTTTTCTATTATTTCCGCTTTCCAGGAGAGTCGAACGTGTATACCCTAGGTAACATTGGGGCGCACAAGATCGTCTGCACCAAACTACCCTCGGTAGGGCACACCAGGGAAGCCATGACGGCGGCGGGGAACACCACTACCCGCTTGCTGGGCACCTTCCAGAAGGTCGATCACGTGTTCCTGGTGGGAGTGGGGGGCGGAGTACCACATTATACCGACTACAATAAGCACGTCAGATTGGGGGATGTGGTGATTTCGTGTCCATTCAAGAACAAGTTGGTATATTCGCGAATTTATTCGGTTTTGGTTCCCTCAAAACAAAATCTGGTACGCCTCTGGAGTCGCGATCAAGTTGGTATATTCGCGAATTCATTCGGTTTTGGCCCCCTCAGAACAAAATATGGTGCGCCTCTGGAATCGCGAGTAAGACGGTATATTCGCGAATTCATTAGGTTTGGGTCGCCAATTTCATTGTTTATAGATTCACGTCGAAGATATTGGAATATTCCGGTCCAATTTTTTATATTACACTCCCACAGGAAAATAAATTGTGTACGCACGCCTCTGGGTCTTGAATGAATAGTTCGAATGAAGGCACGTACCGATTATTGTTCTGATGGGGTCAAAAATAAAAAAATTCAGAATTGCGGCAAAATGATAAAAATCAAGATATCAGTGGCGTACCAAGTCATCTTTTAAGGGGGTTTTCAACTGAAAAAACTCGGAATTTCAAGGGAATAATAAAATTCTCGATAACATGGGCGTACCAATAAATTTTCTGAGGGGGTCAGAAATAAAAAATTTCAGAATTGCGGATAAATTATGAAAATCAAGATATCAGGGGCGTACCCAGCCATTTTTAAGGGGTTTTTTAACTGGAAAAACTCGGAATTTCAAGGAAATAATAAAAATCTTGATAACATGAGCATACCAATAAATTTTCTGAGGGTCAAAAATGAAAAATGTCGAAATTTCGAAAGAAATTAATAAGTTGATACTCCAGTGGCGCACCAATCATTTTTCTGAGGGGGTAGAAAATAAAAAATGTCAGCATTGCGAAAAAATTATGGAAATCAAGATAACAGGGGCATACCCATTCATTTTTTGAGAGGATTTTAACTGAAAAAACTCGGAATTTCAAGGGAAAAATGAAAATCTCAATAACAGGGGCGTACCAATAATTTTTCTGAGGGGGTCAAAAATAAAAAATGTCAGAATTTCGAAAGGAATTATTGAGTAAATAATCCAGTGGCATACCAATTATTTTTCTGAGGGGGTCAAAAATAAAAAATGTCGGTATAACACAAAAAGTTGTAACAATCTAGATCCCAGGGTCGTACCAAAGATTTTTCAAGGAGATTGAATTTTATAAAATAGATTCTCTTAAAGTTTCATATGTAATAAACAATAATCTGAAATCCAATTTTATTTTGATAAGAAACTCATAAATTCATGGTCATTACACGAAACAATCAAACTTATTTCATCTTGATTCTGCTACTTCTATAATTGGCCAAAAAAATTTAGTCACGCTGCTCTTGCTGAATTTAATGAATTACCACTTATTATAAAAAATTGCAGACATATTTCAAAATTCAAAATTGAATTAAAAAAACATGATTTCATTCCGAAATGGATAAAATTTATACTTGCCATCTACTGATTAGTCCCTGTGGCTAATTTTATGACTTGATCGATTTATCATTTTTAGATTTTTCTGATTTTTTTGGTGTTGTTGTCACCTTATATTATTTTTTTATTGTTGTTTGTAATCAACTTCCTCATACCAGAATTTTATTTCTGACTGGAAGCTAGTTTTTCAATAAACAATAAACTGGGAATTTGAAGGGAGTAGTAATGAAAATATCGATATTTGCGGCGTACCAATACATTTTCTGGGTCAAAAATAAGAAATATCAGAATTTCGAATAAGGGGCGTACCAATTATATTTCTAAGGGGGTCAAGACTGTCGAAAAAAAATCGGAAAATTCCAGAAACGTCTACTTGTACTGCGAATCCGCCAAAACCTCGGAAGACGGCACCACCGAATTCGACATCAAACCGTACGCCCCTGCCGACCCCAACCTCCAAAACATCGCCGCCCAACTGAACCACCAATCATCGGAAACTTCGACGCCGCCGCCGTGGCTCGGCCACCTGCGCGACGGCCTCAGCGTGCTGAGCGGCCAGGCTGAGCCGGCCTTCGACGCGCCGGACTCGGGTACGGACAAGCTGTACATGAGCATCGGGGAGAGGGACGTGATCGAGGTGGCGCATCCGGTGCCCCTGGACGGGGCCGTCAAAAGGTGAGGACATTTTTCGGTTCTCGTGAGATTTTCTTATTTTGTTTGTTCTGAGAATATTCCAATATTTTTACAAAATTATGAAATTATGAAATTATTTTGAAATCATTATGAAATTATTATGAAGTTATTATGAAATCATGAAATTATTATGAAGTTATTATGAAATCATGAAATTATTATGAAATCAGTATGAAATTATTATGAAATTAATATGAAATTATTATGAATGTATTATGAAAGTATTGCGAAATTTTTGTGAAATTATTGAAAAATTCTCATGAAATTCATATGAAATTTTTATGAATTCTTTATTAAATTTTTATGATTTTTTTTATGACATTTCCACTAAATCTGTTACCTCTAGAATTTCTATGAAATCATCTTCTTTCTAAGTACTTGTGGAAATTCTATGAAGGTTTCATGGTCATCAAGTTCTCATAAAAAAATTGTTAGATAATTTTCATGAAATCACGTCAAAAAAGTTCTCACACTTATCAGAAAATTTTCATGAAATTCCACCTACTATTTTCATGACCTAGTAATTTATATACACTTTCTATTGAATTTCTGTCATTTTTATGAAAGTCCATGTATTATCCATAAATTTGTAACACCTAATGAAAATGTTTTTGTCAACTTCAATTCTTTATTAATTATGGTTAATATATTTTTAAGTATTTTATGTGGATTTTCATGACATCTTGATATGCTATTCATGGAATCTTTACATTTTCACATTATTTTTAGGAAAACTTCAGGACAAAATATTTGTGACATTTTGATAAAAGTGACATATTTATAAAACTTTTGTGGAGTTTGTAGTATCATATAATTTTTTTTAAAACACATGAAATCTTCAAGAAACTTGATATTTTTATGAAATCCATGGAATTTTCACGACATTCTCATCAATTCAGTTATCGTCATATTATTTTCATGAACCATTTTTGATATTTTCATGAATCTCTATTGATATTTTCATGAAACTTCTCATGAAACAATTTTTGTTTAGTATTCTTAGTAATTTCTCGCGATACTTCGAATAACTTGTCATTGTTTTTTTACCGTTTTTATTGAAACTTTCTTGAAAAAAAAACTTTGACAAAATGTTCATGAAGCTCTTTATTTTAAAAAAATGTTGATTTCCAGCAATTCCTTATGAAGACTGAAATAGTCCCAATGAATCCTTATAAAAAACTTGCGAAATTCTCATGTCATCTGGTGTTTATTGAATCTCCACCAAATCTATGAAATCGTTTTAACCAAAAAATTTATGAGGATGCTTTTAAATGTGCGGTAACTGAATAAAATTTGCATACATAATTTTCATGGAAATCAACAACTAGATCTTTCAGTCAAGAAAGCTCGTGAAATTATCGCAGTAAATACCACTCGAGGTTAAATTTTTCTTGAAAAATTTGATTTCAACACTAAACTCCTCAGGGTTTGTTGATTTGACTGACAAAGAAATTGTTAAACATTTGTATATTGATGATTCTGTGTACGGTGATAATCTTACAATCTCTTTCTTTCCTGATCAAAAGAACAGCAAGGAGAGTGCAAATAAGAAGATATCATTCTGTAAGACCTGTAGTCGATAGTTTCAGAAAACCACTCAGACCTGTCACACCTAAAACACCCAAGCGAATTTTGAAGAAAAATTTCACGAGGTCTGGAAATAAGCAAAATCTGATGTTATGCTTTCTATTTATCATTGTTCGCCCGCAGTAGATACTGAAATAAGAATCACAAAAATCACCGACGTTTTCAGTCATAGTTATATTTTAGTAGGCATAAGCTGGTTTTGATCTGTCTAACCCCAAATTATTAAAAGTTACTCAATTTTTTTATCCGAAATATCAATTTACCCTGAATTGAATGTTGAACACTTTGTAGAGTGTTCTAACAACGAACCAAATGACAATGGAAAACTAACTATTGTCTCCTCCTTCATCATTCCTTTCTTCTTGTTAAATGTTCGATTGGATTCAGGTCTGGCCTGAACGATGGCCAAAGTAAAATCGAATAAGTAATATTGACTCTTGCTAATTGAAATTTATCATTAAAAACATGCCGTGCTATGAAATTTGCCCATCTGCTTTGCTACCACTGATGATGAAGTAAAACAATACGAAAAATGTTGAGAAAAGATGATGCTGATATTTGAATTGTTTCTATAAGTTTCTCGGGTTAAACAGGTTGAGACTGGCTCACCCAGTATAGTATACAGTTTTTCCCCAACAGCATTCTCACTGAGTTATATTCATAGAAAAACATTTGCAGTAATCATATTGTTCACCATATTATTACACAGGTAAATTTTTCAGAAGCCCACTAATTTTTTCTGAGTTATACACAGTTTTGTTTGCTTAGTTTTGAGTATTTCTCGGCACACGTGATGACAACAACTGACTTAAAATAAAATGAGAATAATACCCATTATTGCCCAATTTTCATAATGAAATAAATACCTTCTTTTCACAAATTACCTAAATTCAAAGAGGAACCAATATGTTGATATAAATACAGGAAGAATAATCATTTCGTGTTGGGTCGTAAGACAAGAGTTCCATGTTTTATTTGAACTTAGAACAAAAAAGATCTCAGAAAAGTTATAAATATTTGAACGTTCCTCAGGAAACATCACGAAATAAAAATTCAAGAGTCAAAGGGTGCCTTATTTTGAGAGGTACAGTATTTTGCGTAGGCCTTGTTACTAGCACTGCTACTGGATCTTGAGGTCTGTGACATTGTCGAAATTTCACTAATTTTGCTGGATAGCCCTGAGTACCGATACCGTTTTTCTGCCAAAAAAAAACGGTCACGTCTATGGTGTTTGAAAAAGACGCGGCAATATTTGAGGGGGCGTTTTATTGACATTGATAGTGTCACCAGTGGGACATAATCACCGTTTTGGAATGTTTGACAAAAAGGGGTATTTGACAAACATCATATTGATTTTGTTGTAAACACCCTGTATTTTGATCGCGTAGCATAATGTTCAAACAGTGCCCAAATCGGTAGTGGAATGTTATATAGGTACGGTGCCAAAATGTTCAATGTTCCTGCGGTGCTGAAAACCAGAGTGGAATGTATTCGTGATTATTTCACCGAAACTTGACAGTTTTCACCTACTTGGTTGATATTTTCAAGCTTCACTGCCTACCACCTTAATATTGGTCCAAAACAATGTTATGAAGTCAAAAACCTAGTTTACTTCTGTGTACAATAATTTCTGGACCACCCTGTACATACTGAACTTACTTGAGCAAGTGTGTCTTTCTTCTACATATCTTTCTTTCTATTTTTTTATAGTTATATACAGTGTGTCCCACTTACCATGCTCACCATGAGTATCTTTTCAACGGTGAGAGATACGAGGTCGGTTAAATGACACCAAATGTGGAGTTTGTCAAAGCCAACTAAAATGTGAAAAAATATTTTGATAAAATCTATTCGTTTTTGTTTTATACGCAAAAAACGGATTTTGATCATTTTCATGTCTCCTCCGTAACTTCCTTATTTATGAAAATATTCAAATAGGAATTTCACATTCTCATGGCAGTTTTTCATAGTGATTTCGAAAAAAATATGAAATTTATACCAACTCTTCTAGAATTTGAGATATCAGCACCAACTTCAGTTTTTCAAATGTAGGTCATAGCTCACTATGACTTAGTTACAAAATAACTTTTTTTTCTCTTACAGATGATGTGTCGCAGTAATAGTTTCGTGTTGATACTAACGGAGTTATCGTCATTTATACAAAATTAGTTATAAATTATGAATCGACATTCAACATTCGATTTGGGCACCGTGAACTATAACATATAACTGTATAACATTCCACTACCGATTTGAGCACTGTTCGAACATTGTGTTCAACTATTGGTTGTGATAGTGAGGTGTATTCAAATGAGCCAATGAGAATTGAGACGGGTGCCGAATCCTATAGTGGAATGTTTAAATGCACCCGGTACATGTCAAGCAAGACCTCACGCTTTAGTGGCGCGATCCGGTAGACGAGATCACACGTTCAATCTTTACTCGAATCAAACTTGCCGCCCATCTTTGTAGGTTGGAAGGCTGCCCGAAGCTGCATCTGTCGCCCATCGCCTCGGGCAGGCAGATGGTCAGGGACGACCGCCTGAGGCAGCAGTTCGCCCATCGCACGGGCGCTCTGGCCTTCGATTGTGAATTCGATGCGGTCATCGAGTCCGTCCTGGGCAATTGCAAGGACAGCTTCATCTGCATCAGGGGAATCTCGGACTACAAGGTGAGAGAGCAAAAGTGCCGTATCGCTATGAATTGAAGTGGGTGTTTATACCCTATTTCTATTCGCGAGATTCACGAAGTGGACGACATCTAGGTTACACCACCGAAGATCTACTGGAGATATACTTGCCTACGTCACCCATTTATGGCAATCTTCAATGGAAAAACACGGGGAATCTCTAGCTGTCGCGTTGGACATATCGAAAGCATTCGACCGTGTTTGGCACGAAGGACTCCTCCACAAACTACCATCATACGGCTTACCACCTCAGCTATGCCATCTCTTATCGAGTTTTCTTTCAGGCAGATCGCTTCACGTGGTGGTGGACGGTGTATCGTCTGATACCATTGGCATCAATTCCGGCGTTCCACAAGGATCAATTTTCATATCAATGATCTGTTGGGAGTAACAACTTGCCTTATCCACAGCTTTGCAGATGATAGTACCCTCCATACTGCGTTCTCTTCCAGAATTCCCATTTCTTCCCAGGAAACTAAGAACTCTCGGCGCAGGCAGGTCAATGCTGTCAATGAAGATCTTGCTGAAATCACAGCCTGGGGAACAAACAACCTAGTTGAATTCAACGCCACCAAAACTCAAGCCTGCATTTTCTCTAGAAAGGCGGAACTCAGTATGCCTGATATAGTAATGTCTGGCTCCACCATCCCCACCAAGCCCACCATATCTATGCTCGGTATTTCCATCAGCAACACTCTTTCATGGGATAATCATGTCAGATCCATCGCAAAAGCTGCTTCACAAAAACTCGGATTCTTGTTTCGTGCGAAAATCTACTTTACACCTCAACAGCTTCTCATGATCTACAAAGCGCAGATACGGCCTGTTCTAGAATACTGTTCCCACATATGGGGTTCAGCACCAAAACATACGCTGATGCTCTTAGATTCCATCCAGAGAAGAGCCATTCGCCTGGTGGGTGACGCCATACTCACTCACTCTTTGACATCATTGGAACACCGTAGAAAGGTCTTTCGCGATCTTTCACTTTTCTATCGATACTTCCTCGGGAAATGTTCTTCGGAAATCTCTGCTATCATCCCTTCACTAGCAATACCAATCAGACGAACTAGACAAGCTCAGTCAGCACATCCTTTCGTTGTCAACCTCGAAAGATGTCGAACAGCACTTTATCAAGACTCCTTCATCCATAGAACGGCTAGGCTCTGGAATTCATTGCCTGTGGAAGTATTCCCAACAACATAATATAATCTCCAAAAGTTCAAAAAAATTCCAATACCTACCTCCTGTCCCTATCCTCCCTAGGAACGCACGATGTTTTCTTTGAACATTATAGGGATTCCCTTTCGTGCGCTCCAAGCGATAAAAAAATAAATAGTACGAACTTCAAACTGGGGGAAAACAAACTGTTGTCTATGGATAAAGTGCATAGACTACATTGCATTCAGCTTGCTGTGGCTGTAGTCAAACTTGTCAATGACATAAAGTGTTGGCACTGTTGGTAGTGATGATGGTTGAGTTGGTTAATTTTTTTACATTATTACATTTTTATCAGTTTAGTGAAAAGTGAACGGGTGAACAAGCAATAAGCAAATAAATTGACATATAAAAGAACAGCTACAACATGTTTACAATACCCAGAACAAATACACATCCATTGTTCTACAGGAGTTCCTCTGGACCCCAACTTCAATTTTACTTCACGTGGGGAAGATTTCATCGCCGAAGTTTGTAGACAAAGTGCAAAAATGTTCCTTTTGTTGGAGTCTTCTGCCTCACACAAAATCACATGATTAGCACGGAGAACTGCTTCTCCTTCCACTACTGGTCGGCTTTTTCCATCTGAATAGAGCAAAATATCTGCCAAAAGAACATCTACAATAGGCATTATTAGCGTTTTCAATCGAATATTGACAATTTATGTCAAGAAATTTAAAAACTTTTCACTCTTATCAGTACACAGTACACAAGCTAATGGCACTAATGGGATTGAGTGAGGATTGAGTTTGTTTTCCCCCAGTTTGAACGTGGCTTTGACATGGAACAATGAAAACCGAGTGCCCCCTGGTAACGTTGATTCGCGCGAATATTCCATCTACGACAATGATTGATTTGACAGAAAATCTAACCTCTAAAATCATATTTGACAATCAGGCGTTACTAGGGGAATTGAAAAGACAAAGAGCAGAATATATGTCTTATTCTTTTATTCACTCAAACCATTGTAATATAGAAAATAGAAAAGGACAGAAGTTCAGCTGTGTCCGAACGCTCATCTAACTTAGAGTCACTTGATGGTATTAGTTTGATAAGAGTTCGGACACAGCTGAACTTTTGTCCTTTTCTATTTTCTATAATACAATGGTTTAAGTGAATAAAAGAATGAGACATAGTATGTATAGGGAAAAGGCCAAGAAGATTGAGAGTCGGAGTAGAATGAGAACAAGATATAGAGTAAGAACAAGCTGAGGAGTGAAAACGACCTGTAGAATGAGACAAGATAAAGAGAGTGAGAATAAGCTGTACTCATCAGTTACTCATCACCGATCGCTGGTTTCTGGTCTGATTTCCTTTTTGTCTGTCATTTCTCCGTTGGACTCAAATGGTCGATTCATAACACGTTATTGTTTCTTTGATCTAAAACATAGGGGGTATTAGATTTCGATTATTGAATAACTTGGGAATTCGAATTATGAGTTACTCATCATCGATCGCTAGTTTCTGGTCTGATTTCCTTTTTGTCCGTCATTTCTCAGTTGGGCTCAAATGGTCGATTCATAACACGTTATTGTTTCTTCGATCTACAACATAGGGGGTATTAGATTTAGATTATCGAATAACTTGGGAATTCAAATTATGAGAGGTACATGGAATTGGCAACTGAAATATTTACGAAAACTGTTTCCAAATTCCGTTGCTGAAATGCGACATATTCTATATGCCAAAAAATGACCGGAACCGATAGCCAACAATTTTCTCGTAAATGAAAGATACTGTATATACCTAACCCATAAGGCGCCTACCTCGGTTGCAAAGAGGGTTTACCGACGACAAGGGTTGATACTCTCCCCTCGTAAGGGTACCTGTCGTGTCTCCATCAAGACATAAAGATGACTACCGCAAAATTTTCTATGATATATCGCCTTCCATAACAAATATATTAAATTTTGAAGAAAAATTCGGAATATATTGAATATAATACGATACAGAATTGAGTTATTCATCATCGATCACTGGTTTCTGGTCTGATTTCCTTTTTGTCTGTCATTTCTCCTTTGGGCTCAAATGGTCGATTTATAACACGTTATTGTTTCTTCGATCTAAAACAAAGGGGGTATTAGATTTCGATTATTTAATAACTTGGCAATTCAAATTATGAGTTACTCATCATCGATCGCTGGTTTCTGGTCTGATTTCCTTTTTGTCTGTCATTTCTCCGTTTGGCTCAAATGGTCGATTCATAACACGTTATGGTTTCTTCGATCTAAAACATAGGTGGTATTAGATTTCGATTATTTAATAACTTGGCAATTCAAATTATGAGTTACTCATCATCGATCGCTGGTTTCTGGTCTGATTTCCTTTTTGTCTGTCATTTCTCCTTTGGGCTCAAATTGTCGATTCATAACACGTTATTGTTACTTCGATCTAAAACAAAGGGGGTGTTAGATTTCGATTATTGAATAGCTTGGGAATTTGAATTATGAGAGTTACATGGAATTGGCAACTGAAATATTTACGAAAACTGTTTCCAAATTCCGTTGCTGAAATGCGACATATTCTATATGCCAAAAAATGACCGGAACCGATAGCCAACAATTTTCTCCTAAATGAAAGATACTGTATATACCTAACCCATAAGGCGCCTACCTCGGTTGCAAAGAGGGTTTACCGACGACAAGGGTTGATACTCTCCCCTCGTAAGGGTACCTGTCGTGTCTCCATCAAGACATAAAGATGACTACCGCAAAATTTTCTATGATATATCGCCTTCCATAACAAATATATTGAATTTTGAAAAAATATTCGGAATATATTGAATATAATACGATACAGAATTGAGTTATTCATCATCGATCGCTGGTTTCTGGTCTGATTTCCTTTTTGTCTGTCATTTCTCCTTTGGGCTCAAATGTTCGATTTATAACACGTTATTGTTTCTTCGACCTCAAACAAAGGGGGTTTTAGATTTCGATTATTGAATAACATGGGAATTCAAATTATGTGTTACTCATCATCGATCGCTGGTTTCTGGTCTGATTTCCTTTTTGTCTGTCATTTCTCAGTTTGGCTCAAATGGTCGATTCATAACACGTTATGGTTTCTTCGATCTAAAACATAGGTGGTATTAGATTTCGATTATTTAATAACTTGGCAATTCAAATTATGAGTTACTCATAATCGATCGCTGGTTTCTGGTCTGATTTCCTTTTTGTCTGTCATTTCTCCGTTGGGCTCAATTGGTCGATTTATAACACATTATTGTTTCTTCGATCTAAAACATAGGGGGTATTAGATTTCGATTATTGAATAACTTGGGAATTCAAATTATGAGTTACTCATCATCGATCGCTAGTTTCTGGTCTGATTTCCTTTTTGTCTGTCATTTCTCCTCTGGGCTCAAATTGTCGATTCATAACACGTTATTGTTTCTTCGATCTAAAACAAAGAGGGTATTAGATATCTATTATTGAATAGCTTGGGAATTCGAATTATGAGAGTAACATGGAATTGGCAACTGAAATATTTACGAAAACTGTTTCCAAATTCCGTTGCTGAAATGCGACATATTCTATATGCCAAAAAATGACCGGAACCGATAGCCAACAATTTTCTCCTAAATGAAAGATACTGTATATACCTAACCCATAAGGCGCCTACCTCGGTTGCAAAGAGGGTTTACCGACGACAAGGGTTGATACTCTCCCCTCGTAAGGGTACCTGTCGTGTCTCCATCAAGACATAAAGATGACTACCGCAAAATTTTCTATGATATATCGCCTTCCATAACAAATATATTAAATTTTGAAGAAACATTCGGAATATATTGA